AGTTCCATCATCTGGATTCGAACACAGGTCTGTATTTCAATAGTTAATGGGTGTACCCACCGAGCTAGGCTCTTGGGTAGCATCACAATTGTTGCTGCGGAGCCCATGGCTTACATGAAACAGGCGTTAACTCACTACAACAATTCTTGCCGCAGGTAAAACGGAGTAAAACGGAGCAAAACGGAGCAAAACGGAGTAAAACGGAGATTGTGACAGTACCGCCAAGGGAGAGAAAGGCGCGCCCAGGCCTTCATCATGCGTTTCCCGCCAACACAGGTTGGAGATTAAAACGGAGATCGTAAGAGTACCGCGCCAAGGGAGAGGCAGGCGCACCCGGGCCTTCATCATGCGTTTCCCGCCAACAGCAAATGTCAATTGAATGCGCTCTTACAATCGCTCGCGACCATCGAGGATGGGTGCGCGAGTTGCAGATATGAAAACAGGTTGAGGACGCGGAGTAACGGCTGACAGGAGGAGCGGGAAGAAGATGGGCGAGAGAGGATAGGCTGAATTTATTGTTAGAGAGTTCAGTAATTAGAGGGACAAGCAGAGGGACAGATAGATCGATAGGAACACAGAGGGACAGATAGACTAAGAGAGGTAACGCATAGACAGACACCATCGGTTGACTGAAGGCAGGTGGTATGACAGCCTTGATGAAAGCTCAGCTCACTGTTGTTGAACGGTTGTTGAACGGGTGAAGAGAGACGGCTTTAAAACGGAGGGGGGCAGGGGAGTAAAGTGGGCAGGGTAGCGAGACAGCGGGAAAAAGGACAAGCGAGAAGGTAAATTCTACTCAGAGGGCCACAACGAGAAATAGGAAGACAGACAGACAGACAGACGGAATGATATGCATAAATTAAAAAAAATGTAGACATGCAGACAGATAGATAGATAGATAGATAGATAGATAGATAGGAAAATAGAGAGACGGAGAGCAGATAGATAGATAGATAGATAGATAGATAGATAGATAGATAGATAGATGGACTCATCCATCGCCGTACCCGTCATTACATCGATCCATCCATTCGTCGATAGACAGGCGGTCAGGCAGATCCATCTATGGATGGAATGGATGGATGGTTAGAAAGATGCAGAAAGGGTAGGCCGGTATGTAGAAAAATAAGCTGATTAGGTAAGTAAATCATACGGATCGACTAGTTGACCTCGCCTTCTAGCCATAGGTGCGTTATTTGATAGGCAGACAGATAGATACACGTATGCACGAAAGCACACTCTGTGTGTGAGTGTGTGTGTGTGTGTGTGTGTGTGTGTGTGTGTGTGTGTGTGTGTGTGTGTGTGTGTGTGTGTGTGTGTGTGTGTGAGAGAGAGAGAGAGAGA